TGGCCGACGGGGACTTCGGTGCCGCCGACAATCTCGGGACTGCCGCCTTCGGGGACGATGTCGGCGACGGCGGCCGCGGCGCAGAGCGCGAGGAGCGTGGTGTGGAGCTTCATGGTCGGTGGTCGGTGGAGAAACGGGAAATGGAATGGTGGAGAGAGGGTGTTCGTCGGTGTTGGGGTAGTTGAACTCAGACTTTTGGGTCGTGGTGCTCGAACTCAGACGTGGAGTCGAAGCGGTCGAACCCAGACTTTGAGGTCGAGAGCTGGTGTGGCTTGTAGTGCTAGGTTTACACCTGATTCAGAGCCATCATGGCGCCGTGACGGAGCAAGCTTTCACATCGCGACCTTCCATAAACCTCGTACGACTGTGGATGCAGACGCCATCAAAGTACCTTGTCATCAGGTCTGGGCCTGGAACCCGGTCTCAGATGCACCTGCGATCGGAATCCGGGCCACCACACGGTGCGGAGCCTCGTCAATACGAACAAGGGGCACGGAGCGTCGGAGTAAGCTCGCCTTTCTTCGCACCCGTCAGTGGATTAGTCAGTGGAGTCGTCGGCCACAAAGTTGGCTGCTGCCACCATGGGTCCTATCAGAGCCATATATGCCTTCCATACCCCACCTTTTTGTCAGCATGGGCGACGTTTGCGGAGGTATCCCGACATGAAGTGAAGACGATGCAACGTACGCATGTCTGGTATGGACTCGGATTGTGAGAGTTGCTGCGTCTGATACGATCCGCTCTGAGTTTGGCATCTGATACCAGCCGTGTCTGAGTTGATTGATATCGTTCGTACCGGTATGCACCCCATCCAACTGTCGTTGTACTCGCTCGTCGTTCGTATTTTTATCGAAGGGGCAGACAGACGCACTCGAAATCGGTGCCAAAGCAGATGTTCCATCCAAGATTTTGAGTGGCATGAAACCTGTTTGTGTCAGAAAAGGGTGTGAACTCGTGGCACCCTCAGGATACCTATAACGTCAACTCAGTGCAAGCACCGGTACATGCTTCCACCAAGGGTATATAATATGCTTCCACTTGCTACTCGCAATATCATCATCTGCAATGTGAGCTTATCGCTCTAAAAATAAAATCCCTTCCATTCCTACCATCTCCACCAATGGCTCTACCAGGGCTCTACCAACCGCGAAAAATGTGACAGGATCTGGTCAAAGTCCGGTAGGGACCCATGGTAGGGACCTAGTTACTCCGGCAGTTACGTATGTAGCCCTTCGTCCATTGGATCTTTGTTGCTCTACAACGGATACTTGGAATCCTTCCATGGCGAAAGAACGCCCGACCAAGGGGCGCAAGGGTCGAGCGCCAGCTCCAAAGGCGCCGGCAGTGAAGCGCACGGACACCCGCGTCGCAAGGAGTGGGCGACGCCCGCACGCGCCAATTTGCAAGCTGTCGAAGGAGCGGCTCGCAGCCCTCGAGAAGCTGGCATAGCCCGGGCGAGCCGCGGTGCTTGAAAAGTACAAGCTCTCCATGGGGTCAGAGCCGTTCGTGATGTTTGAAGAAGGCCAACCCTTGGCCACGGCTGCAGCGTATTCGAAAGCGTGGGACGGGTTGGCCGAGTACTGCCTGCTCCGCGGCGACTACGAGTCACTCGTCTTTCTCGACGACTGTGTGCCCCAAAACATGCCGTCGATGGATGCGGCGACTGTCGCAGAGTACATAGCTTACAAGACGCAGCCACATGGATCGCCTTTCCTGGACGACCACGGCCGGCCCATCCTAGGCGCCGACCAAAAGCCGGTACGCAATCGCTTCTGACATGACTCACGCGGATATAAGTTGTCGTTTGTAGCTTGTTGCCGGCGGTGGCTGGACCGACCCAGGAAACATCGACCAGCTCTTGTCTGCTATCACCTACCGGCACAAGCAACTCTCGCAAGATGGCGAATACGTGGATCTCTGTGACCTGTGTTTGCAGCTGTGCCGCGACGACAAGCATTCAAACGGCTGCGAGAGCCACCGCCATCAAGGAGGAGCAATCAGGCGCCGAGGCAACCCGCGCTCTTCCGTCCGATTACAACGTAGCGTCACTGCGTACAAGAGGAAGACGGAAACGCGCGAATATAGCCCGCAAGGTACATATGATGAGGCCACTCTTGTGGTTGTGACATACCTACTTGTAGGGGACTCTGCGCTTACCCCGATGGAGTTGTGCAAAATCCATGCGCACTTGTTCTCGTTTGAGAAGGCGGGCGGCGTCGAGCAGTTCCAGTTGTGGACGATGCTTCTGCTGGGAGTCTCTCAGTTTTTGCGATCCCAGGAGCTCTGCACCCTTACGGTACAAGCCAAATGCGATATCCCCAGTGACGTGACTATGCTGGTGTAAGATCGACTCTTTTGTGCCGTCGCTGTCCAAGGTGACACCGCAAGGGACAGTGCTTTATACGGCCATCCACATTCGCGGCAAGACGAACGACTTCACGCAAATGGTGTGGCGCAACGACAAGATGCCTCAATTGTGTCCTCTGCGCCACCTCCTTGCATGGATCTCGCTTACGGGCATCAAAGAAGGCCACGTGTTTCGATCGGCGCAAGGCGTCGATGCGCCGATGCCCTATACAACGTTCAATAAGAGGTTGGATATGTGATACAGTGTACTTTGTCAACACGATGTTCTTCTGGTAGGATCAAGAAGGTATGTCGCGAGGTCTGTCGTCATGACGGGCCATGGGGCACGCACACCATGCTCAAGTCGGCTTACTTTATGGCCGTGGCGCGCGGAGGCGACGTCAAGACCATTATGGACTCGGCGAGGCACAAGACGTTCGACAGCGCCCAGCGCTTCTACCAAGATGCCAAGACTGTGCTAGCGATCGCCCGTCTAGACCCCGAGTCCATGAAGGTCATCAGCGCCTTGCCCAAGTGGACTGCCATCCACATCGTCAACCACAACACAAGCATCGCGATCGCCAACAACCAGTACGCGGCCACCGACTTGCCGATCTGCGACCTGGCCGATTGTTTTGTCCGAAGCTTTGGTGACGGTCATCAGGTGACGGAGATACGTCGTCGACTGAAGCCCCTCGATCTTGCTCGGGCCATCCTCAAGTCGGCGCCGCCGGAAGACGACGACGTCGTCGATATGCAGCTCGACTCTGCAATCGACAAGATCTCGGACCCAAAAGCGCGTGAACGCATGCGCAAGCTCGTCGCTCTCAAGTGCGCGCAGCTTCGTACTCAACTCGAGGTCGCGCGCCTCGACACAGTGGTCAATGCGTCATCCGCGAGTGGCGAGCACGACGTCGACATGCCCGATCCCGAAGCAGAGGAGCCACGTCAAGGTCCAGGGCGTGTGCTCCCCGAGGCATCGTTGGGGCAAGTCGAGCAGCTAGGCGCTTTCGTGGTACGTCATGGAGTTCCTGAACGAACCTAAGGAACTCTTCGTAGCAGCCTCAAGACGTTGCAGTACCCAAACCCAAGCGCGGTGGTACTTATGATGCTCCATCTCGGTCGGGTCTTTCGGCTCCCATGGACGACGCGCAGAAGCTCGATCTTCTCTGCCGAATTGACGAGGAGATCAAGGCCATGCCTCCAGGCGAAGCCCTGCTCGAAAGTTGCAGGGTTTTCGACGTTGCGACTCTCAAGCCTCTCATGCGATGCCTCAATCACCACTTCAAAGGCGTCAAAGCCGACTTCTTGCAAAAGCACAAGAGCTTCAAGCACAGCACCTTCAAAACCCGCTGCTGCAACGGCACGACCGACGCCTGCACGACTGAAAACCCCCATACTCGTACTAGTACTCGTTAATATCGTCCATACATGCTGCTCACTTTCTCGGTCCTTTCATCGATCGTCGTACAACCATCCTCCCGCTACCGGTATGCTATGCGTACAAAACAACAACGTTGGTGGAAGGAAAGCTCAGTTAGTAAACATAAACAGCACTGGACGCATCAAACACACGCAACGACTAAAACTTGGAGACACCCTTGGCGAACGCATAGTAGCCACGGTAGAGCTCCTTTCCGGAGCGCACGATGGACGACGCCGGCGCGACAAAGTCATTGCCGGCCATCTCGATTGTGAGCGTCGGCTTGTTGAGGTAGCGCTGGCCCCAGTCCTCAAAGCAGCCGTACGAGAGGTACATTTCCCACTCGAACGTCGTTCGGTACGAAGAGCCCATCGCTGTCGAGAGCGCGTCGCCGAGCGTTTGGTACTTGGCGTCGAGGCCGTTGCCGAGAGCCGCTTTCGTGTCGCCGTACGGCAGCTGCACTTCGCCTGCGAACGCGTGCACGTCGAGGTATCCCGCCAGCGTCGCGTTGCGCGCGGTGATGTAGTCGCGGATGCCTTGCGTCTCCTTCTCGCTAAAGTACGCCGGGCCCGGGTACGTCTCGTCCGACGGCCGCGGCGGGCTCGGGTTGCGGATCGGCGTGAACCAGTTGCGGTTGAGGTCGACCTCGTTGGCGTTCTTGCGCTGGAGCCGCTTGGAGCTCCACGTGATGCGGTACCCGTCAATGTTGACGATTGGGCACAAAACACGAGGTCGTAGCTGTCGGCCGGCGAACGGCTTCTTGTTGGCGACGTCGTCCAAAATGGATGCGATCGTAAAGACGGTCGACGCGCCCGCGACCCACTCGCGCGCGTGCAGCAGACTCTGCGTGTACAGC